TGCTTAACCACCAAATTTAGGTTCTCAGAACCACCAAACAACCAAATTAAGTTCGTGTTTGTTGTTGAACAGGAAGACAGTTGTGGTTGTTTCTTCCTCATTCAGCCAGGGTAGCAAAGTTGTCAATCCTTAGGCCTCCTTGTTTGATCTAGCAATAAGAAACAGTTGCCTGACAGTACAGGGATGACCCAGACCGCTTCCCTAGTTTTGGATCACCCTGTCACTACACATCCTTGTAAATGTCCCTCTTCAGATTTCTAGGTCCACTTTAGGTACTGGAAGACTGCCCTAAGGCCTCCCTGGAGCTTCCTCCTCTCAGACTGAACACCATCCGCTCTCTCAGCCTGTCATATTCCAGTTATTTTTAAATACTGAGAAATATTCTGACACTTCACATGCTATTTTGTTAGCTCCTATCACAATGCTTTATCACACTGATGACTAAAACACTTGAGGGCTTTAAAAGTTCTTGAAGCAGGATCTGTCGCCCAGCCCCACTCCTACAGTCGCCATACCCAGCCAAGGTAATCACCATCCAGGGGTGGCAAAGGGAGCAGAGGGTGTTCCAGAGCTCTTTCGTGCGGTGGTGTTTCTTCACTGCTCACTTGCAGTATGACCCAGGTGAGAAGGAAGTACTTAACGGGCACGCACACTTCTTCCCACGTCATGTTTCTCTACAATACACATGCTTCCACTGGTAGAGCTCACAGCAGTAATCATAGCATAGTTTGGGTTGGAAGGGACCTTCAAAGCTCATCTAGTCCAACCCCCCTGCAATGAGCAGGGACATCTTCATCTAGATCAGATGTTGACCGAAATTACATCCAGCCTGGCCTTGAATATCTCCACAGACGGTGCGTCTAGCACCTCTCTGGGCAACCTGTGCCAGTATTTTACCACCCTCATCATAAAGAATTTTTTTCTCACATCCAGCCTGAATTTCTCCTCTTTTAGTTCAAAAGCATCACCCCTCGCCCTATCACAATAGGCCCTGCTAAAAAGTTTATCCCCATCTTTCTCACAGGCTCCTTTTAAGAACTGAAAGGCCACAATAAGGTCTCCCTGGAGTCTTCTCCAGGCAGAGCAACCACAATTCCCCATCAGAAAGGTGCTCCGCATTCAGACCCCTCCGGTCAGCAGGGAATACCAAAATAGAAAACAATGAAATGGTCTTAATATGCTGACATTCCCCACAGAATAACAGCAGCAGCAAGTACCAGCCTCATCTGGCACCAACCCGCTGCACGCTTAGCACCGCCTCAAAACACAATTAAATACAACATAGGCCTTGCACAGCTGTGATGAGGCCTCCAACACAATCTACACCTGCCTTAAATGACAAGACAGAGGCTCATGAACTTGGAATCCATGCTTGCCACAAAAATCAAAGCACTGTGCATGTGAGCTGGCCAGTGCTGCAAACTAGGCAGTCCCTTGAGAAAGAATTGAGGTTCTAGATCACCCATATGACATGCTGTGATTTGGATCATTAGCAAATATGATCTGCACAAATAGCTCATCTCTGTCCTCAATGCACCCAAACCCTCCTGGTACAGTTAGCTAGAAACTCTTCTCTGCGTGGCCAAGTTCGCAGTAGTGGTCAGGGGTCAGCTGACAGTCAGATCTGTTCTCTGATCAAGTTGTCACTCTACAGAGCACTGGCAACAGAAAAGCACCAGGTTACTGTTTAAGGAAAAATAGGTGCAGTTCAGTTCTGTGCTTCCTATGATGGAGCAGGATTTATATGAGTGACACAGCTCTTCATGTGGAAACGGTCTTGGCCTGAAAAAGATCCTGTGCTAGGCTTTAGTTACCTAGGCCTCACTGCCAGCAGCCAAGACGCCCCTACAGAGAGGATCACCCCTCACATGAGGACCTTGTGAGGAATAACCCTGTGAAGTGCAAAGTGAAACAGTCAGGTAAGTTGCCATATATGCTTAATTTAAGTTCCTTACTAGTAGCTGGTGCAGTGCTGTGTTTTGGCTTTGGCCTGAGAAGAATGCTGATAACACACTGATGTTTCCAGTGTTGCTCAGTAGCACTTACCCTGATCAAGGACTTTTCAGTCTCTCATGGTCTGCCAGTGAGGAGGGGCACAAGAAGCTGGGAGGAAGCAGGGACAGGACATCTCACCCTAAGTAGCCAAAGGGGTATTCCATACCACAGCACGTCATGCCCAGTCTATAAACAGGGGGCTGTTACCTGAAAGGGCCTGATTGCTGCTCGGGTCAGGGTGGGTATCAGTCAGCGGGTGGTGTTTTCTGAGCTTTCCTTTCTTCTCTTGTTGTTTCCTACTATTACCATTACTATTATTGTTTGTATTCTTCCTCTTATCACTGTATTTTACTTTATTTTAGTTATTAAACTGATCTTAACCCGCGGCGTTTACATTATTTTGATTCTCCTCCCCATCCACCCAGTGAGGGGGGAAAGAGGCAGGGGGGAAAGCGAGCAACTGTGTCGTGCTGAGTTACAAGCAGTGGTTAAACCACAACAGCACTAGAAAGGGCTTCACTTTGGATTTGTTTCAGTCAGTGGGAAGAGAGCAGTGAACAGAATCAGTCATTTTATCTCCTTTGACTCTCTTCTGTTAATGTTTGGAAGTCAGGGAGAATTTCGGCTACTCTCCTGCGTAGCTGGTTCCTCCTTTCCTCTCGCTCTCTTTCCTCTTTCATTAGTAACGGGTACTGCCTCCATGCCTTGAATGCATTCATCGTGACTTTCCTTAAAGAAATGGGGGACACAAAGAACAAAGTGACAACATGCAGATGTGTTCCTAACAGCACAGGTAATCAAAAGAATACTTCTATTTGAGAGGGGAACTCCCCTAAAATAGCTGTAGGATTTGTTCTTTCTGCTGCTAGTCAGGGCTGTGACAGATTAAACATCTACATGCAGACCACTCCATTAATATGTCAACCGTGGCAGGGGAAAATAACACATTACCTTCTCTGCTCCTCCTCCCCATTCAGGGCTTCACTTTGGATTTGTTTCAGTCAGTGGGAAGAGAGCAGTGAACAGAATCAGTCATTTTATCTCCTTTGACTCTCTTCTGTTAATGTTTGGAAGTCAGGGAGAATTTCGGCTACTCTCCTGCGTAGCTGGTTCCTCCTTTCCTCTCGCTCTCTTTCCTCTTTCATTAGTAACGGGTACTGCCTCCATGCCTTGAATGCATTCATCGTGACTTTCCTTAAAGAAATGGGGGACACAAAGAACAAAGTGACAACATGCAGATGTGTTCCTAACAGCACAGGTAATCAAAAGAATACTTCTATTTGAGAGGGGAACTCCCCTAAAATAGCTGTAGGATTTGTTCTTTCTGCTGCTAGTCAGGGCTGTGACAGATTAAACATCTACATGCAGACCACTCCATTAATATGTCAACCGTGGCAGGGAAAAATAACACATTACCTTCTCTGCTCCTCTCCCCTATTAATTTTGCTCCTCCCTCTGACGGGATTCATTAGCTAGAATTTGCTTATCATTCTGAAGATGAAAGATGTTTCTTGAAGAATAAAACAGTCTCTGAAAAGCAGTTTCTTCAGGAAAAATGCAGGTATGTTTTGTCCAGACCAACCCCTTGGGAGTGCAGGCAGCTGGGCTTCAATTCTTACCTGATTTTAATCACCCCTCCAAAGGTGCCTTGCCCTGGGTTCCCATATGGGCAATAGGGAGCAACAGTCCTGTCTAAAGAATAGTTTGCTATGTCAAGGTCTGAACTTTTGGCAGTCAGTGGGGGAAAAGGTAATGAGAACGACAGGTGATTATGCTTCTGATATGAGGTCATATCGCAGAATGAACCCCGTCTTGCCTGGGTCTGAATTTTTCCTGGATGCTCCAGTTAGCTGGCTTGTTGGGTTAAACTGTGCACTGTTCTGATCTGCCACAGCAAGCTAAACAGGTTTGCTCTGCCACGGAAGAGGTGGATTTAATTTCATTCTTCCTCCAAGGTGCTGTAGATCCTGTCTGGGCTATGCAGAGACAGCCTATTTGTGACTGCATGCAGTTGACACGCTTTCATCGTGAGGTATGTGAACATGCATGTTTTCTGCTAAAATGCACACCTATGGGACAGTGAGTGAACTGGTTGCACCAGCTCCAGTCATGATCAATAGAACTGTCTGCTGTAATTCTCACTGCCAAGTCAGGCTGACAATGGCATAAATGGAAAGATACCTTAAGTAGGCTACTTGATCAACTTTGGATTTGTGAACTAAATAATCCATCATGGACAAAACAGTACAGTGTAATTCCTGCACAATCATTTGGCTTGCTATCATTGTACCTGAAGATTTTCTTAAGGCAGCTTTTAGCAGAAGCTGCATGGCCAGATCTGCTAATCAGCTTAGAAAGTTTCAGTTACTTATCCACTTTCACTGTATTCTCTTTCAGCAGATTTAAAAGTCCTATGAAGGGTACCACTACCACTAGATCTCCTTTTCAAGACTGCATGGAAAATTCTTACCATAAACCTCTGTTCTGTGCATATCATAGAAGCAAAACAGCAGCAATAAAGAACCTATTTCACGTGGGTTTGGGGAGCAGATAATTGATCTGTCAAAAGTAGTCTCAATTAATCAACATGGTATATTTTAAAAAACTGCTGGCAAGGGAGTGCACTTACTTGTTACTATGTTCAGTAGCAATCTTCATCTTCTCCCATAAGATACTTTCTTCTTCCATGAACAGATCAAACCATGCCCAGAAGTACCTCCTCATGAGGCAGGTTGCATGGAGGGTACTCAGTCTCTCCTCCAGAGTGAAGAGATAATCCTTGTACTAGGAAAGGAGGACAGAGAAAGAGGTGAGAATGGTTTCTTTCTCCCAACCCGCAGCCCAATAAGCAGAAACAGAGACTGTGGCAGTGAAGGGTGATGGGGGCAGGAGTGAAGGAAAGTCAGTGGGGAGCAGGGTGAGACAGTGCAAAGGAGGAGAAGCGATGCACAGGAGCACGTCCTGAGTGGAGAAGAATGATGAAGAGTGGAGAGCTGAAAGAAGGTCTCTGAAGAAGGGAATGCATAGGGACAGTATAACTCAACAAATGCTGGGCTCCAGGTGTGTGAAGTGGCAGTGTGGTGTGGGAAAGCCTGGTGGCAGCCAGCTTGCTTAGTGTCATTTCTCCACTGTGGTACAGGCAAACCTTGAGCCAGTTCCTGAAGCTCTGTCTCAGCAATGTATGGGAATAGAAGTCCTTGGCCCGAGACACCTTCTCCATGAGGCTCCCCTGGGTGTCCTGGAACCAAGCCATCAGGCATTTCCTCTGCAGGCCCAAGCAGTGGTGCCTTTGTGCTACCTGAATAAAGACAGCAGAGATGGCAGCTAGTTACTTGGACTAGTGACTACATAAAGCTAAAGAAAACTGGGTACACTTAGAAAATCACCTCAGCTTTTTGGGGCCCCCAAAATGCAGATGTCTGACAGCTGGAATAACTTACAGGACAGGCTCCCACAAAGAGGGGTCAGCAAAAGGAGTAAGACCTCTGATAAGTGCCTTGATACGGTGGCCTCTGTATCAGGCCACTGCTGTGTCACTTCCAGAGAACAGCTTTTTGAATTAGATGCTCAGTTTAACATACTGTGAGTGGAGCAGAGGCATGGCCTGTAACAACTTACTTCAGCCCCATCCATAATGCCGACAAGCAGGATGGACGTACGGAACAGATGCTATCCCTCTACTTCCCAGCAGGAGGCCTATATGCATTTGCTTGAGTGCTGTAAGTAGCTGCAGTTCCAGCGGAAGCTTGCCAACATAGCCCTAAGGCTAAATCTTCAGGGTATGGTTGACTGTTATTAGACCACCCCTGATAAAGCATGGCCATTAATTAATGTACGGAAAGGTTCCATTAGCAATATTGATGTGTCAAGGTCCCAGAAGCTGCCACTTGTTATTCTGCGCTGAGGATATGGCCAAACTAGAACAGCCTGGATTATTACCTGTGTGTCCTGCCTCTAGCAGTGGCCAACACTGCACCAGCAGTAACTCCAGAGAGGGAAAGCCCTGGAGACAGGCTGGGGTTAACTACTGTAACTGCAGTGGCTTGGTGGTGTCTTACTGATTAGATTTGCTGTGGAGCAAGAGAACCGACAGGCTCATGTCCTATAACTTCAAGTTATTTTTCTGGCTGTATCATACTACACTAATTCCCACTGTGTTACTGGCATCAAATCATGCGGCAGTTAGTACATCAAACAAGTGGAGGCTAACAAAAGAGGACGTCTCATTAGACTGAAATTTGTTCCTTTCTCTGTCCTTCTGGTTCCTGTTTGATCAGCTATAAACAAGGATGCCACCCTTTTGGGTTTCTGATGACCTTTCATGATTATTGTCAGATTTAAAGAACTGATTTAAAGAACTAATACAGGGCAGGGTATACAGGGACAACTTTTGCTTTTTCCATCTCTACCTGTCTTAAAAGCCTATGAACATTTCTGCTGCATCCATTCTTTTTTCCTTCCTCCCAGGGCACCAGTTCTTTCCTTTATCCTCAGCACTTACCACCAGGTGTTCCTTGGCTTGCTCCCTCAGCCTTTTCCATGGCACCATTCCCAGCTTTCTGAGCAGGACCTTTTTATAGTGATCTCTTGCCTTTTTCTGGAGCTGCTGCTCTCTCTCCAGCCTCCTCTGCTTCTCCAGCTCTTTCTGCAATACAATGAGTGGTAGTTTTAATTCACTCTGGATAAAGAGGATTTTAAGCAAAGACAACAGATTGTCATATTGGACCTGAAGGTCCTGACCTGACAGGAAATAGCGATCTGTATTGTCTTCAGCAGTGCAGACCAGACATGACCCCATGTACTAGAACCTGTGGTAGAAAGCAGAGCAAATTGTCTTAAGTTCTCCTGGAAGATGATGGTATTTCTGGACATTTCCCTTGGCCATTTATCAGCACATGCCCTTTCCTCAGCACTGCAGTTTGGCGTTACTGCAGCAGACATATAATCCGTGGCTGCCAGCAGTGCTGATATAGCAGCAACCTCCTTTTGATGCGCCTTCATCAATGTGGGGAGGGGTGATTTGGTGAGTTCAAGAATGGCAGCTTTCTATGTTTATAAAAGTAGATTGAAAACATGTCCAAAACTGCTTCTGAGTTGATGCATGGACCCTACCACCTAATCTAGCCTAAATAATCAGGGAGGGATACGGGTATTTTATAACCATACAATATTACTTATAACTGAGACTCAGGGATGAAAGTCAAACATCCCAAAACACTCAATCCAAGTAGAACAGTAGCTGTAGGTCAAATTCCTGTCGGATTTCAAATATGCTATTTGGGTTATTTAGACACCTTATTTCCAAGTAACAGTAATGAACTGGGGCTATTCCTAGGCTACCTCCAAGGAGAGGATGCTTCGACAGATGGAAAGTTGCCCTCAATGTAACTGTCAAGCTTGATTACTTTTGAATGTGACTGGTATCATTATGCATGCTGGCAGGGGATACAAGTGGAAGGAGCAGTCTGAAAGCAGGCTGAACATGCAGCCACTCTAGGGGCTTCTGTGCCTATACCTCAGCAGTGAACGTCCACCAGCTGGGACCCATAGTCCTGCTGAGACAATACTTCATAGTGTGTCTGGTCCACAGCCCCCTCCCCAATATTGTCAAAAAGGGGGAAGATAGTGAGTCTATATAGCAGGTGCTGTGGAATTTTTCTGCTCTACTAATGAAGATCTTCAGTTCACATTACTATGGCTGCTGACTGAGTGCCAGTGGGTAATGGCTCTTCTTCCCTCTCCCTGCTAAAAAAGGGGGAAACAGGTACACTGTTTGCTCACCAGCTTCTGCTGCCTTCTCTCCTCCTGTCGTTTTTGTTGCTGAGCTTCCTTTTCCTCAGCCTCTTTTCTCTGTCGTGCTTCTTCTTCAGCCTTCAGCTGGGCCTTGAAATGGAGGAAATGGAGGAAGGTAAAATGTAATTTGTCGTATGTGACCTTTTCAGAGAACACAGACCTCTAAGCTTTCCCAGTATTCCTTTGGTACTGACCAGCACCTGAAACTTCAGAAGGAAGTTTGTCACATACTAGACATGATCTGTGCTGGACAATGAACTGCGGAAGGGAGAGGAAGGAGAGACTGACTGTTCTTTCTACTACCTACATGTATCTTTCTGTGTCCTAAGCTATAACATTTGCCTACTCTTACCCTAAAAAATTTAAAACACACACCAAGTTACTGATAACCTGATTGCTGAAGTCAGTTCTGAATTCCTGGGCTCTGCTCTGAAGTCTTACTTCTACATGCAAAGCAGCATTACAGGTACCCAAACATTTCTTTCCCCAAACACTGAAAATCAAAGAAGTTGTTTTGCTTCAGTACCGGTCATACTTGTCACACTATCCTTCTCTGAATGTTTATCTACTCCCCTTGCAAACCACACTTTGCTTTCATTTCACAAAAGTTTTGCTCTTGACATATGCATCAAAGGCCTAAAACCCTCACCAACCATAATGCATGATTATTATGACTCTGCTTCCTGATCTCTATGACTGTGGCAACTGCAGCTGGGAAAATCTGATGGAGTCTGTCCACTCCACAGTTAAATGTTCTCTAAGGCTCGTTTTATCTATCTTGCTTGGAGAAGGAAGAAATGCTGGTTGTTTTAGGACACCAGTTCTGAGGTTTCTAATCCTAATGCAACTTACTATCAATGTCTTCAATCACAGCTTAATGCCCTGAAGCTAAGGTGGCTCCTCTACTGGATATGTATCACAGAAATTGCGTATTAACTATGCAAAGGTTGTATCTTCTCTCTTCAGCAGATTTGCTAGGAAGATGCAGGATTTTTACTAGGTGAGACTGCACAGCCTCTAGCTGCGTGTGACCAGACAGGAAAGGCAGAGGATGGAAAACCCACTACTGCCAGGTTCAATCAGGTAGATTGCAATTCCACTCTTCCCATCCTTGGCAAAGACAAGTTGTGGTCATGGGGTAGGTGTAAAAGAAGTGCTGGGGAGTGGTAAGGGAGATTGCTTCTAGCATAGCAACTGCATCAACATGAAGTGTCTGCCTCTGGTATGGCAGGGCTAGTGCTTTCACCATATGCAAATGCAGCTGTAACTACTACCTTTGATGTGTGCCAGACAAAGAATCATAGAATAGTTAGGGTTGGAAAGGACCTTAAGATAATCTAGTACAAATCCCCCTGCCATGGGCAGGGACACCTTGCACTAAACCGTGTCACCCAAGACTCCATCCAGCCTGGCCTCGAACACTACCAGAGGTGGAGCATTCACAACTTCCTTTGGCAACCCATTCCAGTGCCTCATCACCCTCACAGTAAAGAACTTCTTCCTTGAATCTAACCTAAACTTCCCCTGTTTAAGTTTTGAACCCAACATCTGCTTTCTCATGAGACGTAAGACTCCTGGTTTGGGTAAAGGGCCTTCTCTTGGCCCCTGACGCTGGGGTTAAAGCAGCATTTCTTGTAACCAGAATGATGTGAAAGAGACTTGGTTTCACTTTCCAATTCCCTTACCAATTTTTCTTCTTTTTTTTGTCGTTTGGCTTCTTCTAGTTTCCGCTTCCGTTCTGCCCGCTGAATCGCCCTCTCCTCCATCGCTGCAGAAACAGAGGACATAAGGCTGACAGTGAAAATCCCTGAACAGCTTCTCTGACTCTTGTCACACCAGAAACAATCACAAGTGTTAGGAGTAACTGCCACCACAGTGTAACAAGCAGGGACTTGAGGGGGTTGCAGTGGCTCAAGTTTTATAGATGCCTGACTTGGGTATGAAAACTGCTCACTCTTTCACAGTGCTGGTCAGGCTGGGAAAGTGTGTTGAGTTTTACTTGCATACTGCCATCAACCTGCAAGGCTGAGGCACAGAAAGAGAGAAGTTTCCAGACAAGCTGTTGAGAAAAGTGGTCTGGAATGGTCTTCACTATCTAGAACAATACCTTTCACTATGGGATGAGCTGAGGTCAGCTGGCGGGAGGGTCTTTTGCCTTGCATCACTGCCCTTGTGTTTTCTGGCCCAGGAGAAACAGGTGGACTATGAAAGAAAAGAGTAAAGAAATTCATCAGTAAATGTGGTCAAATGCTGTCTTATGCCTACCACCTGTGGCTGAGAAACAGCTTTGTAGTTTTTGTCCTCTGCATTTTCATTCTGAATCTCTGGTACACCCTTCTTCTGCTTGAAATGGGATTAATGATGCATCCTTGAAAAGGAGCTGAACACCTGGGCTGCTGTGTGTTCTGAAATACTGAGGATGACACTCTATTTTCCTAAATAAATCAATCCTTTCTACTGCTATGTGTGACACTCTAGTGTTGCTGTTTCTAAGTGGATCCTGTATGGATAACACAGTGTCAAGCCATTGCAAAAAAGGCAGAAGGACAGAGAACTGTGGCTGGCCTGATACTGCCTTCGAGGTAAAGTCATAGGAAAGTGAAAGAGCAGATAGTGGTTGCATGACTTAAGTGTGCCTGGCAAATTCTGACTCAACTTGAGCAGGAATTAGACATGCTAATTAATTGAGCCTGCTTTATCAAGAGCATATACCTCAAATAGGTTCTATTCTTGCATGTGGGTTGGTTTTCCCTCTTGGTTTTTTCCTCCCTGGTTTGTGAAGCAGACTTGTCAGGCTGCTGGGGGGGTGTTCCTGCTGTGGCTTGTGCTGTCTCTTCTTCTGTTCTGCTCAGCCTCTGATTTTCCTGTAGTTCAAGGATCAGCTTTTGCTGTCTCTGAAGCTGCTGCCTCTGCTCCTCAATCAGACGCTGCTGGAAAGCATGACGATGCTCAAAACGGCTGCCATAGGCAGGAGCTGTCTTTGGACCAGGTGTCTGTAACTGTTGGAGGAGAGTGGCTATTTGATCCTTGTACACAGCCTGGTCCTGGGCACTTGGAGCTGTATGTTTTATCGTAATCTCCCAGGTAAACATGGGTTTTCTGTATGAAGGAGATGTGTGAGCAGAATTCCAACAAGAGTGATCTCCGGTCTGGTCAGGTTTTTTCTGTATGAGGCAAGTTTCAGTTGGCTAAGGGGAAAAAAAATAAAACTGGCATTGATGAAAAGCAAACACTCTTCTCCCCTTCCTATATACTAAGTGTTTCTTTATGCAGACCTAGCGAGATGCCTGAGAAGTGGGGTAATCTCACATATACAATCTTTATCTAGTTCCTAGCCAGGGCAGAGGGACCTCATTATGCATAAAATAGGAGGCTGTGGGAAAGAGCTGTTAAGGAGCTATGTGCCATTTCACTGGGAGTAATAAATCCTGGTCAGGCAAGAGCTCTGCCAGGAATATAACCTACTTTGTTGGGAAGCATAGCTCAGAACAGCTTATTTCTCAGGGGTCAGCTCATCTCTCAGGGATTAGCACACTCTTTTGTTGACTGCGTCATCCCTGCTCAGCACTCAGATGGAGAACAAAGGAAAAAAGCAGTTGTTGAAGTGATCTACATGGGTGATCTATTGGATGGTCCCTTTTCAGATGGAAGTCTACAAGGTGTTGCTTCCACATGCTTCTCCTCCAGTTTTGATAAATATTACCATGAAACTGGTGTACAGTAGGGAATGTACCTTTTCTGATACAGAGGCATCAGATGCAACATCTACTTTCTGATTCCTAGGTCAAACCCCAAGTTTAGTGCCATCATTCCTGCACAAAGTTTACCAGTGCATCAGAAATAAAATACATGTCTACTAAGATGATATAAGCACCACAGGAAATCAACTTTTGCTGATGAGCAAATGAAACGCTTGACCTGTAATAATGCTGAGATTGGGATACTGCTGTGGTACAAGTTTTATAGACAGAAAGGAAGGGCAGGCTCTGACCTGACAAGTGGCAGTTTTAGGAAGCAACCTCTGATTCTCCTCTCTACCTCCTTGTGATGTGTGTTATCCCAAAACAGCCAGCAACGTTTCCCCTGCCATGCTTAAAAGCCCATGCCAGCTGCACTGGCATGATACAAATCTCTTGTCGTGCAGTCAAGCGTTATTCTTTTTAAGCCTAAGCAGGCATTCAAGATGTAACTAATCTGCCAGCAAAAGCTATCTGGGAGTCACCCAGGGAAAGAAGCCTTCCTCTGGGACAATGTACTCTTTATTTAAGATTGCACAAAAGAGTACCAAGATGCCAGTAAATAAAAACACATAGGAAAAATTTACTTTCTCTTTCTTCATATACTGACGATGGCTTCCTCCTGCTGTCCCAGGCTGGTTAGCCTCCAGTGGCCTCTCCAGATCACCCTTCTCCAGTGATACTGCCTCCAGCAGCTGTGACATCTTTTTCTTAGTCTCCTCTCTCTTAATCTGTAGCTCCCGCTTTCCTGTCTCTGCCTGGCTCCAGTGCCACCATGCCAGAAAGCAGCAGCGCAAAAGCCGTCGCTGGTTATATTCCTCAGACAGTTGGTTTTTCCTGAATGAGAAAGCACTTGTGTTATGATAGGAGTGAGACTTCTGCTCAGACCTGTCTGAAACAACTGCATCAGGTACAGCAGCCTAGACGATGGCATGAGGCCCCATAATTTCCTGAATCTTTTTGTTGCTTAACTCTGAAGCCCCTCTGAAGCTGAATAGAGTTTCTCCAAGGATGGCTGGAAGACAGAAAGGATGCCCATTAGTTTGAAGCAAGTTTCTCTAGTTCACATTTTGCAATTTCCTGTCCAGTCCTGGGCTGTAGGATAGGTGCAAAAGAGGTATCCTGTTCCCTTGCCAGTTGCATACAGGGAAGTGGCAGACACCTGCAAGAGCAAGTGATAAGGACTTCATGCAACAGCCTCCTTAATGAAAGGCACTGCCTAAAATTATCTCTGCTATACTACTACTGAAATAGGAAACAACTATACTAATGAGGAATAAATATGGCACCTCATATTCTTTGGGGTCCAGAGCATATAGTGAAATTTCCAGGAAAGATACGTACAGTGAGACGGTGGCTTGTTGGGGAGTGCTAAAGCTCTGGTTTATCTTTGTCCTCCTTTTCATCTGTGCCAAAGTGCCTCTGGCAGACTGCAGGCAACGTGGCAATCTCCTCAAAAAGCTACTGTTTTCCTCCTACTGGCTAACTGACAAGATCTTTTTACAGTCCCTGATCCCTGCACTGCCTAAATACTGCTGCAGTAGAAGGTATTCCATAGTGTAGGGTCACTACCTGTTTTGATCTTGGAGATGAACTTGCAGCTGCTGTGCTTCCTGCACTACTTTCTGGGCCCAAGTATAGTTTCTCCAGGCTCGCAGGGCCTTCAGCTGGCATTTCCAGTCAGCAAGGGCTTTGGCTTTTCCCATTTTAATTCTGTGCTCCAGAGTGACTTTCAGCCAAGCAGAGAAATGTTGTTGCATGCACTGCACGGGAGAGTTTCAGAAAACCAATGAGAAAGACACAGCCCACCACACAGATGCAGACCCTCTCCACTTTTTTTTCTGAGATTCTTTTTAGAATCCCTACTTTCAACAATTACCTTGGGGGTAAAAAAAAAATAATTCAGAGTATGCACAGGTCTTCTACAAAAAGCAGGAAGGGATTAGACAGGTAACATCATAGGGCTCTATGCTTTTGAGTGAAACACACTTAGTCCACCAAGTGTAAAGGGATAAATTGGGTGAGGGACATAGAATTTCTAGAGACAAGAAAGATGTTTCAAAAGCTAGAAAATGTCTAAGATGTTACAGGTAAGAAGAGTTATGTGGAGAACAGTTCACAAGTATCTCCATGGGCCACTTTTTTAACTTAGACAAAAATCAAGATGCTTCCTAGTGTGAATTTATGTCATGACATCCTTGTTCCAGTAGAAAGCCAAACCTTTCCCCTATTGTGTAACTTAGGGGAAATCTGGGAGAGATTTACATCATACAGAACAGCAATTTGCTATCTAATCCACCCCATAATTGTAGCCCTGTCACTGCAGACACTGTTCATTTTGATCACCCAAGTGGGTCACCTCACAGGACTTGGCTACACCCATTTTGCCGTAATGCCTTGTTTTAACTGGATTCCTCTCACTCAGTGAAATCTCCAAATGGAGTTGCACCAAAAGGATAAAATTAACTATTTCCTTCTGCTTTAGACAAATAATCAGTGTAAGTACGCTTAGCTCAACTCAGCCATGGCCTCTCACGTTATGCAGGCCCAAAATTGTTCTGTGGTTTCATTCAGGCTTATTTTCATAGCTCAGATTGTGCTGGAGAGAGGTTGTGTACTGCTAAACAGTAGCCAAACTCAAAACCAGTGGATGGACTGATGAAGTGAACCAGGGGGGGAGATTCTATGAGTAATAAAACTCTAGATGTAGGTAAGTAGACACAAACAATGATGACAGCTCTATTAATTAAAAACATTATGTGATGGATGGCATTCATACCTGCACTCAGAGAAAATTATTCCCTTTACTGAGAATGCCCATATAAAATCATTCGGTACAAAAAGATCATTCTTTAATCCCAAGTTTTTGATCTAACTAGGTGTTTAACCCAGAGCTGGCTATAGTATCAGAACAATGAAGATAAAAGAAACAGGTTCCTACTAGGAATTATTACAGTCTGCATGTTTGCCTCAAAAGAGCTGTTGCAATAGCACAGCATATCCTACTGCATCCAGTGGGAGTGGATCCTTGAAAGGAACCTGTTAGTGTGGATGTGCTGGCATACTTCAGCTCTTGGAGACCCAGCTCAAAATTCACCCCAGGCCTCAGCATTTCTCTTTTCTCTCCCTGCACCAGGGTCTGTAAGGCAATCTTTAAAATATCTTCCATATACATAATAAGGGCTTCTCAGGCCCCCCCCTTTCTTTTTTCCCCAATTCCCCTCTCCCCCTTTTACTTTCTTCCTCAAAGAAAACAAATCTTGCTCCACTGCCTCCTCTGTACACCTGCCTATTTCTAGACTGCAGAAGCCTTTATGTTGGCAGCTGTCCTGAGAGCCACATCTTTTCCACAATTCTAAGAGAAACCTCCCACTGAGTACCCTTCAAGTACAGAAACACTGAGAATGGAGGCTTAGGATTTCTTGGTCCTAGTCTTATGAGATACTTTTTGCCCTGCTCTCCTACTTTCCAAGTATGGGGAGGAGGGCTTGGAAGAAGTAAAAAATTCTGATAACCAGGACTTTTACTTCAGTTTTGCAAACAGCAGCTGAGGACAGGTAGTTCAGTGTCTCAGATAAAGAAGGGTGACGCTTACTCTCTGCTTATTGCCTTGAATCCTGCACAGCAGCTCCTGAGCCTTTCTCCGTTTCTCCTCTCCTTGCTCTTCCTTCTTCAGGACAAGGGGTGGTGAGGCAGTAGTACATATCTTCTGCATTGACAGCCTCTGACACTTTTCTTGTCTCTTCCCCTCCCTGGAAAGTGAGCAAACATACAGATCTAAATACAATGAAAAAAATACTGCAGCATAGATTTCACTCTCTTTTTGGCCAATCCTAAGAGAATCATCTCTACAGCCGATTAAAAGTTGCCAATTATTTAACTCGTCCCTCTTAGAAAACAGCCTCTGTCATGGTTTGGAGTCCCAGAGATCAAATAATCTGGAGCATGTCCAAAATACAGGAGGCAGAAGAAAATAGTAAGATTTCAGTAAAGCACTTGAATGAGAAGATTTAGGATCTCAGGGCTGCCTAAGTAAATAAGTGGCATCCCTACAAGTTGCATCTTGGTGATAATCCAAGCTCAGCAGAAGCAAAAATGAAGCCCCTGCAGAATCCTCAGCCAAGAATGCTCTTTATTCTCTTGTGGCTGCATTAGAGGCTAACAAGGCTGGATGTAGCCACAGAGTTGATGGAGAGAATGCATGGTGGTGCAAACACAATCCTACTTTGTGATTCAGTGTACTCCCAATGGCTATGGGGAGGCTAACAGTATCTTTAGCCCATTCTTTCCATTAATGATAAACTCTGCCATAGATGTTGATAACAAAGGACTAAAAGGTTTTGGGAGAGTTCAGAAATAGAAGAATGGCAGATGTTTCCTTTGGGACCACCATTCCTCTTATATTTTGCAAAAGAAGCTGATAAGCGTTCTTCATATGGTTCTTTCCATGCCCCCCTCTCCCTCTTACATTCTCCATGCTCCTGCCATGGCCTGCTTCTCAGCCATTTCCCTTTGCAGTTTCACCATTTCCCTCTGGATCTCCTCCTCCTCCTTCTTGGCCTTCAGGGCCTTCCTTCTGTCCTCTTCCTGTACTTGGAGCCTGGCCTCAGACTGAATTGATTTCTTCAGGGACTGTTCTTGTCTCTGAAGCTCTAATGCCCTCTGACGCCTTATTCGGTTTTCCTGCACCTGGGAAGGAGGAAATCAGCAAAACTCAAAGCAGATGCAAACAACTGAAGAATTTGAGGTTCACTGTACACTGACAGGGGAGGCCACAATCCACCTTCCACATGAAGCAAGCAATCCCATCCATAGCTGGGACTGACTGATTCTGCTTTCAGACTAGCAAAAAACTCCATTCAAAAGTGAGGTTAAACCAGTATTACTTGGTGGAAGCAAACTCAAAAATAACTGCCATGGTGGCTTTTCCTGCCAGTCTTTGGAAGTATCAGTAAGTATCTACTCTAATCCTACGATCCTTCATCTTATTCCTTTGAAATGTGCTGCCTTGCCTCCTCACCTGCTTGTGTCTGAGCTCCATTATTATTCGTGGATCTGCAAATTTTTTGTTTTCCTTGATGTCTTCAAGTCTAAGGCCTTTCACTATCATGTAGCTCACAGCTTCGCTATGCAAAAGGTGCTGTAGGTATTCCTGGACAGAAGAACTTTCCGTTTCACATTCCAGATAACTGCACAAGTCTGAAATGAGGAATTTAGATTGTTTAAGGCTAGTCTGAAAGGAATAAAGCCCTCTGCCTCAGATCACAAAGCCTAATGTATTTAAAGGGATCACTTTCCCAGACTGGGAATGCATTTCTGGTAAAAGCAGACACACTGACTGCACTCCATTTATCCCCAAAAAGCCTTATCAGTCTTCCATTGAACATACTAGAGCAGGAACAACACTTTGTCCAGTTTTGACTGCCTTGCCTCTGACCACCTCAAGCAGCTGTATAAATCTGACAGACTTCACATACCCATATGCAAAAGAAACACAATTTCTCTTTTACAAAGGGAGACATTGAATGTTTATGAGATGCATTTATGCAGCCCTACAGCTACCTGCTGTAAGAGCTAGAAAAGGAAAGTCATCTCTAATCTTGTTTCTACTAAGCCCACTAACCTGGTCTACCCAAAGCAACTTTTACCTCTCAGCCTGACAAGCCACGAGGCCTGGTTCCCTTCCCCAGCATGTCCTCAGAAAGGAACTGCTTTGTTCTCACCATCAAACCGCTCATACTTCAGAAGGGCTGCAGAAGGCTTTTCCAGGAGGACAGAGTCAACTTCCTCTTCTCCATCACTCATCACCTCCAGTTGCAGTTTGGACTTCATCCAGTTACTGAGCAGTTCTTGGGCTATCATGAGTAAGGAGACTGATGATTTCACTTGCTTAAAAAGTATATGGGTAAGTATAAACTAGCAAGACTCTAACTCTGGGATAGTTATATCACATGCCAGGAATGCTATCTAAAATGACTGAAAGCTGATCTGCAACAGAAAGTGGAATAAGGCTACTAGTTCTGTTCTCATCTTGATCTACAAAAGAACAGGAAAGAGAAGGTGGTAAACAGTGTTCCTGTCACATGTCATAAATGAACTCTTCTCCATTTATCTTACAAGACTCTGCAGGCATTTAGATCACTCCTACGATTACTACAGCATTTATCAAGGAGATGGAATTCACATGAGGCAATTCATAACTTAAATAGCTTTCATGTTTTACCACTGCACTTGCAGACACTTTCCACATGTACAGCCAAGGCTGTCATGTATTAAATACAAAAGGAACCACTATTTGGCCAAATGCTTGCTTAATTATACAGGTTAATCTTTGCAAGTACCACCGGAACAACAACTGAGTCTAGATTACAAACCCATCAGCTGGCAAACTTCACCAGGGACTGCCTGTACTCAGAATTGAGACTGCAGCTACAGGAATGCACTCATAATGGATTTGGTACTCAAATGCCTAATGAACAACTGAGCAAAAAGTCCTCCTATGGACTTCTAGGGTTGGAAGGGACCTTAAAGATCATCCAGTTCCAACCTCATGCTATGGGCAGGGTCACCTTCCAGTAGACCAGGTTGCTCCAAGTCCTCTCCAACCTGGCCTTGAACATTTCCAGGGAGTGATATATACCTGATAACAGGAAGAAGAGAGGAAAACAGCTTATCACTTGGGGAAGGGTTGTTTTTCTGACTGGGAAATGTGATGTCCTCACAACTGGACTATAAGAGTTCTCACATTTCTTTTATTGATACCTTCCTTTGCAAAGCGGACTATGTGTAGTTAACACCATTAAGGATTCTAATAATGGATTCCACATAAAAGGCCTTCAGCTGAGCTAGGAACAATCCCAAGAGATCTGTAGCTATAAAAAGGAAAACCATAGCAGAGAAAGGGCAAACAAAAATAAGAAACACAACTAAAGCAACTTTTCCACCCATTACCAAGACAGCTCCTTTTCAGCCACTATGCTCTATAATGCATTCAGGCAGGGCACTGTAAGCAGATTAAGTGTGTTCTGTGCTATTAGTTGAACTCTTGATGATTGCAAGTGAAACAGCTGACTTCCTGTATTGAAGTGGATGCTCCTGAGATGTGTCTTCACTCCATTCTGTAAGGCTCAACTCTGGAGTCTTAAAAGAATGGTTAACTCAGTTTTTAAAAAGCTGCCTCCTGTCAGGTTTCTACACTGCAGATGTACTTCCAGCACTGATGGGAGATAATTTCCCTCCTTTTTTTTTTTTTTTTTTTAATGTACCAGTTTCATTTTCAAATTTCAGTAAGCACTTGTGGCTGCAGGCATTAGAAAGGGAATATTTAGTTAGGTAATTAGTGAGGAAAATTTTGCACAGGAATCAAAGTAAAACCGCACAGTTATTCATAGATGTGGAACTTACACAGAGCAACTCCATTGTCACAGCCAGCCTATTATTAAAAATACATCAGGTAATTTCACCCAATTTCCTATAGCCCACTAACTTGCATTTGACCACACAATGTGTCTTTAAGGGCAATATTCATCCTTGTCTTGACCTGACATCTCCAGGAGACACAGAGCTCATCCTTCTTTTAGATATGCTAATTAAGGACTACCTTGAACCCCAGCAATTGATTCCTTTTATGCCTTTCTCCATTAGATGAAAGACATCTTACTACGAACTGTTTCTTAGGTCTCAAGTTTTGCAAGAGCCTGTTCAGACCAAAACCACAATGCTGGATCAAGAAAAGTTCGTTTTAGGCAGCTTGTGGCAAGTGGTATTTCAGCTCACCTTCCTCACAGGCCTCATCATGATCTTGCAGGTGTTCCATGGTTTCCAAACTTGTCACAGGACCACAAGGCTCCCGTGGATACCTTGACTTTTGAAGGGAAAAGGCTTCAGAAACAGCATACGCAGAGGTTTGGTCCACTCTCTGTAAATTAAAGAAAGAAAAAAATTTCTAAGAATTGCTGGATATTAATTTTTAAGCTTCCTATAACCAGGCTTCTCCTCCAGAGAGAGCAAACATGAGTGCGAATGCAAGACAAGACAGCACAGCTGTTATAAGAAATGGCTTTATTTTGAAACACATTTCTCCAACTGCTTAATTGACTGGAAAAATTGGACTTGGAAATCACTGAGTAGTAAGCATTCATTTTGCAATTAGTGCCAATCATAGTGATTGGAGAACATGTAAGGAGAATGCAAGCACCCACCCCCTGGGGGCTGGATGGAGACTTGCTGAGCTAGTCCACAACAATCACCAACTATGAAATTTGGTATCAGCATTTTGTCATAACCAAGCTGGCCACTGTGTAAATGGTCTGACGGATTTTCTGTCCCATATTCATCTCTCTAAGGTGTACATGGTCCTGATGCGTCCCTGTGTTTTCACATGTAACACCTGTAACCCAGAGAGCCCACGTTTCTGTGGAACTTCTTCTCTTTGTGTTAGGGCATTCAGAGCAACGCTGCTGCCAGAGGCCTTGAAGGCTGCACAGGGAGGTAGATGCACACTCCCACCTGCCATAAGAAACAGGCTGGGGGTGGAAGCATGGACACACCTAAGGAAATAAAACAAGCAGAATCACAGACTGGTTTAGGTTGGAAGGGACCTTAAAGCTCACCTAGTTCCAACCTCCCTGCCACAGGCAGGGACACCCTCCACTAGACAAGGGTGCTTCAAGCCCCGTCCCAACACGGCTTGAAAAATCACAGCTTCTCTGGGCACCCTGTGCCTCATCACCCCTATAGTAAAGAATTTGTTCCTAGCATCTAATCTAAATCTGCTCTCTTCCAGTTTAAAGTAATTCCGCCTTGTCCTGTCACTACAACGGCCTTGTAAAAAGTCCCTCTCCGGTTTTCTGGAAGCCCCTTTAGGCACTGGAAGCTGCTCTAAGTTCTCCCTAGAACCTGTTCTCCAGGCTGAACAAGCCCAGATCTCTCAGCCTGTCTCCGGAGGAGAGATGCTCCAGTCCTCTGATCATCTTCATCGCTGTGCTCTGGACTTGCTCCCACAGGTCACCCTAGAATTAATTTTCCTTGATCTCAGGTGGGTTTAGATGCAGGAGATGGTGCTTTGGCATGAACCTCTTCTGTTACTTGCCTGTACAAACAGCCTGCAGCACTGCTCAGCAGCAGATTCTGTGCGTGACCCATGAGTTTTACCCACTGCATCAAGGCACCTTACACTTGAGTGAGCACTGTGCAAGTTACTTCACCTTGACCCAGTGTTCCAAGTTACTGGAGTCAAATCTCGGCTGGAAACAGGATTTAAAAATAATAAAAATAGTGTTGCAACCACCTGTCTTGTGTTGAACCACAGTTTAGCACTGACAAGTTTAGTGCCATTCATCCAAGCACAGCGTGGACGTCCTATCGCCCCCAAATCGAACGGCCGTTGCTGCAACCCTTCCACACAGCC